TGCTGGTAAAAAAAGAAAAGTTTTGAGGTTGTACTAGGTGCAAGAGGGACAATGTTTCTATTGCATCCGATACAAACCTATATACTTTAAAAATTTATTTTTATTTATTGATAACATGGATTTCTCGACTTCACCAGATTATATCACAAATTCCCCACCAAAGTTCATGAAGGAGATGAATATCAAGTTGCCAACAATGTCAAGTGATTCTAGGTTTTACTATTGCATGTACACTTCTGCGCACAAGAACTTTTACCACCACTTATTGGTCAAAATCACTCAATGACTCTCCAATTTTCCCAATGGGGTTCAAATATCCATTTTGCTGCTAAAAGCAATACTAAATGTCGATTGAACAAAAAATCACTTGAGCTCAACCTTGAGTAACGAATTGAGTCGAATTCGAATATTTTAATAGTTTATTTGAACAATTCACAAATTTAATTGAGTGTGTGTAATATAAATGGTCATACTTGAAATATAATATTCATTTTGTAATAATATTTGGTTATAAAATGTTTATTATTATAATTTTTGTGTTAAAAAAAAAAAAAAAGATTATATTCATGGCAAGTTCGAACAAAGTTGATTGAGTCAAGTTAAAGTCAATTTTTAAAAAAGCATATTAAAATTTCATCGAATTTCAACACTTAATTTTTAATTTTTTTAATCAATTCAAATTTCGACACTCAATTATACATTAATTAAGAAATATAAACCTCAAAAAGTATTACATTTATTTAAGAATGAAGAATAAATAAGGTTGGTATGGTGTACTATAAATCTATAATGCATAGTTTGAATTTTGAAATGGACAAAAGGTCAATCATTTAGGCATTGACATTGCATCCGTGCACAATATTTAATGTTAGGTGTTAATAAAAAGTCACCATAACTTTGAAAATTTTGTATATTGGTTAAGAGTTGAAATGATATTAGATTTTTTTGGATTTTTAGTGTGTTAACTAAGACGTTGATAGTATATATAGTAAAAAATGGTATCTGAAGATAATGGATAAGTGGATGTAGCATGATCTTTTCAATTGAAGGTTATAAGTTCAATTTTTTACGTGTCTTCGATCAAGTCCATCGCACATTATTTTCTAGCGTAGTTTACCTATCTTGTGTGATTTGCGGCCTACACGAGCAGGATTATGCAGATATGCTTGATCTCCACAACCCCCTCTCTCTCTACTCACCTTTTTACAATTCTCCAAAATACTTAATAAAGGCCAGACTCTCCTATACTACATTGTAACAGAGTCATAATACTTAAAAAAAAAAAAAAAAATCAATTCCCTTAATCCAATTTACCGCTTCGTCGGAGTCACTTTGACTTTTAATCCACTTAAACACACTTTTTTAGCACTAAATTTTAGTGCAAATTAGCAAATGTATTCTTCATTTTCAATAGATCCCACCAGCCCAAACATTTCATTTAGGTTTGGGCTCAACAAGTTCAAGGCCCAAAGTATGGGTCAAATATGAAATGAACTAAACAGTGTTATACGGGACGTTATGCCATGGAACCGTGTTCACCATTCATGGTGAACACGGTTCCAACGGTGTTAGTATACCGTTATCTTTTTTTTTTTTTTCTTAATTCATTGCGTGACTTTTCTTCTTTATTTTCACATTTTGCGGTTTCACTTTAATTTGAGGTGAACAAAGATTTCGGACATTTATAAATTATGAATTCATGCCTGCACATTCACTTTGGAACCATGCCTACACATTCCCGTCCGAAATCACGGACATTCATAAATTATGAATCCATGCCTGCACATTCACTTTGGAACCATGCCTACACATTCACTTTGGAACCAAGAGATTATGAATTTTCTGTTATAAGATTATAAATTTTCTGTTATGAGATTATGAATTTTCAGTTGTGAGATTATGAATTTTCTGTTATGCGATTATGAATTTTCTGTTATGCGATTATGAATTTTCTGTTATGAGATTATGAATTTTCATAAAATTCATAATCTCATAACAGAAAATTTATAATTTGATCAAACGCGCGCCGTTAACTCCACATCCGAGAATTTTTTTTTTTTTGCCTAAAAACGACGTCGTTTTGCCTTGTGTTCACCATTCTCGGTGAACACGATTCCATGGCATAATTTGCGGTGTTATACCAGTATACTTTCTCAAAGTATTTGGAGCCCAACGTGGCCCAGTCCATTCACATTTGGACCTGGCTAGGGTTATTTTTTGCCATTTGTTTATGCATATTTCGAAACTCATCACTTTCGCGTCCGGTCTCAATCCGTAAGACAGGTCCGACCTTTAACTTTATTGATCAAAGATCTGACCTGTTTCACAGATTGAGGCCTTTGAAATGGTCTCACATAAATTTTTGTCTGTATTTTTTATGTCATTCTGTGTGGTTTGCACACGATTATGTACACAATAATAGGATTTACTCGCTGTGCAATTTTAACTAGTGGTTGCAAGTTTTTGTTGTAAAAAAAAAAAAATGCCATTCAAAGATTGAAATATCAAAATTTGGATGCTTTGATGGAGAGGATAAAAGATAGGAGACAGGAATGAAGAACAGACAACCTTAACCTAGGACCCAAGTGCTTCTGCGTCACTCCTTTTTGTTCACCACCTTCTTGAGGAAACAAATGTTATAAAATGCAGATAACCGTGGAAGGTAAATCATACTAAGAATATTGTATGAGACTGATTATTCACAGAGGAAGTATTGACAATCATACTTCACTCACTCTTATTCTTCATTTGATTACACATTATCATAATTATCATATCATATATCTTAAAGTAAATAAAATTATATAAAATAACCATTGTTCCTATTAATTTGGTAATATTATATTATTTGAAGTAAACGCATATTTTAAAAAAATTCAAATTGAGATGTTTTAACTTTTTGAGTATACCAGGACTATGTGGTTCAATGGTATCCGGGTTGGACTTCCATTTGGAAGATTATAAGTTCGAGCCTCAGTGGAGGCGTTATTGGTTCTTTGTGTTTCAATAGGTTGAGAAAGTATATGAACAGATACTACAATGTAATAGAGCCAGTAACTTTCAAAAAAAAAAACTTTTTGAGTATGAATACATCAAGAACAAAGCAAATTTCACTTTTTAATAATTGACTATTGTAACATTCTCACTTTTAGTTCTATAATTCTTTTAATTTTGACACATTACAATATTGCATCATAACTTTCATTTAATTGCCGCAATCGATCATTTAATTAACATCAATTTAAATAAAGATTAGATTGTGATAAATAAATTAAAAAATAAATAAATTTGTTTACAAAAAAATTTAAATTTGTAATTAGACAAAAAAAAAAAGGATAAAATTTAAATATGATTATGTCACAATTGTCGATAATTAAAAATAAATGTTTCTCTACAAATACCAAATTTATTTCGTGCAGGGTAGATGAGAATAATAAATATGATAAAGACATTCATTCATTCCTTTCAAGTAAACACTCAAAAGCGTCAAAATCATAGCCCCAATGCTAACAATCAAAGAGGCAGCGGAATATTGTTACATTTATCATCATTGTACTTTTGACTTTAATATATCATGTATTCATTTTATGATATATATTACTTAAAAATAAGTTTATAATACATTTAAAATGAACATTTTGTATATTAAAAATAGACATTTATCAGTGGTTTACCTCCATCTCGCATATACCATCTACGGTCTAATTTGTACTAAATTTAACACCTGATCATACATTGTTGAAAGTTGAAATGTATATGAAAATATCTACATTTTTATGAATTACAAGTAAATATAAAATTGATAAGAAATATTCGACTTTTACCCCGTTTACTTCATAGAAAATTCGAAAAAGTCAATAAAGCATTTTTTTAAAAGAGTAATACTACACACTCCTCACATATTTCCCTTCCAATTTTTCCTCTTAACTTGACATTGGTCATGTTTGGTAAACTAGTTAGCCTATCAGTTAATTTTGTCTTATTTGATCATTATTAATTATTTGATTTGGTTAAAAGTGTTTGATTAATTAGTTTTTTGTAACAATTTATTGCTCCAAATACTAAAATTCAAAAAGTTACTCAAAATAGTTTTTTCAATTAATTTGTTGATAAAATCATTTTGTATGTAATCGCTAACAAGTTAACAACTAATTTACAAACACTTTTCTAGAACCAGTCAATACTATCACCAAGTTAAACCCACTAACCAAATTACTCCAAACACCATCATTATCTTATTGAACAATTAAATTACTCCTTAACTAGTGGTAGAGTCAACCAATACATACACACCCAATAAATGAAGCTACATTGAAAAATTCTAAAGGAGAAAAACACTTTCCTCCTTAAAATATAGAGTTAATCACTACTTTAGTCTCTCAATTGTTTTTCACATGTCAATGTAATCCCTAGTTTTCAATTTCAATCAATTTGATCATCGTATTGTTTAAAATTTCAACGCCGTCTAAAATATATTTTTAATATAAAAAGACATTAGTTTGGTAATAATAAGAGTACAAGTTCGACTTTCTAATAACAGGTCAGCTATGAGTAACTCAGACTGATTTATCTTATTGTGATCCTTTACCAACGACTAATAAAATCACAAGGCAAATTTATAACGCACACACTCTCATGTAATCACAGCGAATTTTCATAATCACTGCAAAAAAAAAAAAAAAAAAAAAAAAAAAGGAGTTGTAAATTTTCTAATCACCTAAAAAAAATAAAATAAAGCATTGTGTCTATTAGTTCCACCAACCAGTTTCACCAACTTTACAAAAAAAAAAAAAAAACAAAAAAAAAATTCTTCTTTGAGAATTTCACCTAAAACACATAATTTAACAACTAATTCCAGAAGGAAAATTACAACAACCAAAATGAAAAAGACAAAAAACAAGAAGATAATAATATATAATATACAGAGACCAATTCAAAAGGGTTTGCATATAATGATATAATAAACTTCACAAGAAAAACCATCACGATTGATCGGAGACTCAACCGGAGCTCGACGAGTCGGAGTCGGAGTCGTCGTAGTACTCTAGGCCGGCGTAAGGGCGCCCGTAGTCGCCATCGTCGTCGTCGGAAGAGGTGTAAGCGTAATAATAAGTATTACCGTAGTACGGCGTCGGCGAGAAGCAGAGGAAATCCCAGAGGTGCATAGCCATACGGCCCAGCTCTCGGGCGGGGAAACAGAGGACCAGATCCAATAGCTGCTCGCCGGGGATATGCTCCGGCAGGCACGCCACGCGTTGCCAAATCTCCGCGGAAACCGTCGCCACTGACACCAAAAATGCGCCGCTGAACGGCATTTCTCGCCGCCTCTCTTCTCCTTCCTGAAACTACTGCTCGTTTCTGCGAGTGTTGTAGATTTGGTTTGATTCTTCCGGCGCTTTCGCGGTCTGCGTTGAATTCTTTCTCTCAGACATTTCGTCGAACACGTCGGGTGCCGTGCGAGGTTCTGTCTTCCATGTTTGCCTGGTTGACCGAGAGAAGGGTAGGGTAGTAAAGTAGTTGAGCAAATCTTAAATTAAAAAGAAATTTCATTACGCAGACTTTTTCAGTTGATGGTAATTATGACTGACATGTGGAATTAATATATTTATATAAATTATGTAAATAAATGCAAATTAAATAATCAGTTTCAACAACTTTACCAAATCAAATTTTTATCATTAAAAGTAAAAAATGATTAATGTAATTTCTAATTTTTATTTTTTTTTTTGAAAGTAATTTCTAATTTTTATTACTTTTTCAATTTTTAAAAAAACAAAAAAGGAAGTAAACAAAATAAAAATCCGCAAAGGTTGTGCAAGTAAACATATATTTAACATGAGATGGATTAAAAATATCTTAAACTTGATGATGGCTATTCGGTCTATCAAACTTACGTGATAAAAGACGCTTGATAGTTGGCAAGAAGTTGTTAAAATTTATATGCAACTAAATACTTGGTTGCGTTATGAAAAAACCACATGTCACATTTATAATGTACAATATAAAATCATGTCACGTTTTTATAAATGTAACGTCTAACTTTTTTAGTATAAAAGTTTCATTTAATCATTTTTGCTTAAAAGAGCACGTCGATTAATTATTTGTCCAATTGGTGTGTTTATTAACAGGGTAAATCTTTTAGTTTTTAGAAAAATGAAATCTCTGAAAAATTATAACAGAAAAAAAGTGTCAATAAACGTATTTTTAAAATTATTAAATACTCTATATGTCTCTCTCTCTCTCTTTTTTTTTTATTGTTTATTATTCATATTATTTTAAATTTTGATTTTTTTGTGTGTTTAATATCAGTTTTAATGTAGTTTTAAAATATATATAAATTTTATATGTTAATATTAAACTTAACACTATAAAAAAAAAAATTGAATTGAAAATAACTTTAGTCAAGATCGAACTAGACACATAAAATGAAATCTATATCTATATATATATAAAAGTAAAATCCTCCAAACCAATTTTCCCCCCAAAACTTAAGGCCATTTATGTAAATTCATATATATTATGTTTAAGGAAATAATAATTATAGATATAAAAATTTATATATATAGTCATTTATATATACGTGTGCTATTATATATATATTAGAATATTAGATGTATATATTGATAGTAATAATATATAAATTAGGTAGTAAAAGAATAATTAAATAATTAAATATAGTAAATATTCTGTGTGATATATATATAGACATTATATACAATTAATATTTAATTTAATCTATATATACTAATCTATATATATATAAAAGTAAAATCCTCCAAATCAATTTTCCCCCCAAAACTTAGGGCCATTTATGTAAATTCATATATATTATGTTTAAGGAAATAATAATTATAGATATAAAAATTTATATATATAGTCATTTATATATACGTGTGCTATTATATATATATTAGAATATTAGATGTATATATTGATAGTAATAATATATAAATTAGGTAGTAAAAGAATAATTAAATAATTAAATATAGTAAATATTCTGTGTGATATATATATAGACATTATATACAATTAATATTTAATTTAATCTATATATACTACTAATAATAATAATAATTTTATTACCTTACTTTACTTTCTATATTTTTTAAATAAATTATTATACTTTCCTTTCGAATTACTATTTTTCACCTATAAATACAAATTTTTAGACTTTGGCATTCATTCATCTTCCCACACGCTACTGGTTCTTCATGATTTTCAATATATTCGTTTTCTTCAATCCTAGCAAAACTCATTCACTTAATCTCTACTTCAGGTAATTGTTTCTACTCTCCAAATTCTTTTGTTTAAATCTAAGTTTGTTGAGATTGATGATGATGATCAATGAATAATATGCTTCGCTTATTATTATTATTGGATTTATTTGATTCACATGCAGGTTTCTTATCAAGGTGGTTAGGATGCTATTAAGATTGATAGAAAGTTTGCTTTCGAGGGTAAGATTTTATATTCACCAAAATTATTATTTTCCCCGAGTACTGTATGTATTGATATTATATGTGATATTATATGATATATGTTATTCATGTGAACACGAGTACATTTATCGATAAATAGTAATATTGTGAGTGGTGATTCTCGAAATATCGAGAATGAGTTTCGATTTGTAGAACTCGTGCATTATGTAAATACTTGGCTTGAAATTGTTGGTGTTGTATACATAGTAGTATTGTGAAATTGTATTAATACTGGATTATGGACTATAATTATATTTTGGACAAATCATGTGGAGAAAATTGTATTTCTTTTTTTTTTTTTTGAAAAATGTATTTGGAGAAAAGTATATATTCTGGAGAAAATTGTATTTTTGTGGAGAAAGTATTTATTTGTGGAGAAATAATAAAATTTTGCGAAAATAATATTTTGTGTGGTGTCCAAGTAAGAGTGAGTACTGTTTACTACTCATTGGGCTTAGAATCACATGAGAGTGTATCACATAAGTTATGATTCAGTTTTCAAATTGGTTGAGTGGCAGTAGGTAGGAAAGCCTAACTACTTGGATCATATATTACCCAGTGGCTTGAAATCTTCTGGGGTGTGCACATAGGTTTTAGTCCAGTTTCAAAGTGGATTTCAAAAAGTTTGGTTACTTCTCCATAAATAACTATTTATTCTCCATACAAGAAAATGTATAACTCCACATGTATTTTGGAAAAGTATGAAATTATGAGATTTGAAAATATAAAAAATTCAAACCATTATTTTACGGGGTGAAGTGAAACTTACTTAGCTTATGCTAATTTTTGTCTACATTCTGTTTTTATGTAAAATTATTTATACAGGTGAACATGGATAGGAATTCGGGATGAACAAGTTGAGAAGGAATAAAGTTTAATTATTTGTTATTTTGAGGAAAATATTATTGTATAGTAATTTCAGTTTTAAGTACTAAGTTGATTTTGAGATATTATTTGATGTTGTAAATTTAGCATAATTACCATAAATAATGTTTAATAATTGACAAATTCTATTAGGCAATAAAAATTAGCATTATAAAATCTTTTGTACTATGGAAATATTATTTTTAATTATTTCGGTTTAATAATATTATATCTTATTTATAAAAAATTAAAGTAATACTTTTACTACTATTGAATATTGATTGACTAAAAATAATCTTAATTATTATTGTGGCAATTAATAGGTATTTAACTTTAAAAAGTCTACAAATATATGAATTATACAACCGTAGAATCAATTAGTAGGACAATTATATTAGGTAATCTAATTAATAATTTACTTTTTAAATTATATCCCCTTTTCTTCCGTGGTAAGCATATGTTTAATGTAAATTAATTAAAATGTATTAATTGGTAATATTGCATAATTATGGTATTGTAAATGTATTTATTGCTAATCAATTTATAGTAACGTGAATATTATGTATGGGAATAACAGATGAAACACGGATTTGGAAAACGAAATTGAAATTATGCAAATAGAAAAAGGAAATGTATATTATTAATGGACTTAAAATTATAAAAAATTTCTAATTGACTGAATAGAAACGGAAATGGAAAATGAAACTTATATTATTAATTTATAATTCTCACATTCTCTACCTATAAATACAATCCATTGGTGACAAAAAAAAAAAAAACAAAAAACAAAAAACAAAAAACAAAAAACAAAAAACAAAAACAAAAAAAAAAAAAGAAATGGAGAGATTTTTTGTTTTTTTTTTTTAACCAGAAGTAGGAATCAATTAGTAGGACAATTATATTAGGTAATCTAATTAATAATTTACTTTTCAAAATTATATCATCTTTTCAATAATTATATATATACTTAATGAATAATATTATTGGCATAAAATAAATTATACTTAACTTAATATATAATTAATTTTTAATATAATTTTCTAATTTTTATTAATGGTAATTATTCTAATAACTTTCTTTCCTTCTTTCGTGTAATTATTATGATAATTTTATGGTAATGTGTTTAAATATTGAAAGAGAACAAATATTAGAAGTAATATAATTAATGAAATTATTATGGTAATTGCCACAATATTTATTAATTATAATTAATATAATTATTGAAACTGAGAAATATAAGATTTCTTCCCTTAAAATATTTGTGACAATCTCATTAAATTATAATTAATAAAATATGAAATATAATTAAAGAAATGAAAGTATAAAATTAACAAAACATGAATATTCATAATTTTTTTTTAAAAATATACATACAATTATACACTATAATAATCATACAATATTTAAATGCTACTTTTTAAATTTCTAAATGTAATTTTTTAATTATAAATCTATCAATATAAATTATAATTAATTAAATTATAATATAAAATTTTTCTATATACATATTAATAAATATTATGTGTATATATAATGTATTATACAATCATATAAGGAAATGTGTCCGATTAGAGTTTAAATTTATTCATACAAAATTTAGAATTTATATTTTTTTTTATTGATTTCTAAATACAATTCTCTTAGTTAGTATTCATATTTTTAGAATTATAATATATATGAAATACAATTAGGAATAAATAAACTTAATTGTGTGATTTTTTTTAATAAATTTATCTAAATATACAACTTGATTAGAGATTATATTAACCATACAAAAAAAAAAATTCTCACACCTAACATTAACCATACAAAATTTAAATTTAAATTTTGTATATTATGAAAATAGATACTTGACCAAATATATAAAAGTCCAAATATATTATTATATTGTACATTACAATATATTTTCATTGTTTTCTATTTTTAATTTTAAATTCATAATATAAAAAAAGAATTCGTGCAACGCACGGGTA